CTTAATTCCCTTTTTTATAGTGCTATTTGCATCAGAATTGATTGACAAACTTTTTGAATTTATTCAGTTACATGCAAGTGTCAAAAAGAAAGATCATCTTGTGAACATTGTGGAAGTAATGAAACTTGAGAGTACAGATCGACGGCTGCCTATACTACGAAGGTTCCAGTTGGAGGTAGTGCAGAAGATAATCAGTGACAATGGACAACAGATAATCATATATATTTAATGGCYGTGAGCATGATGAGAGCACAATTAAAATGGTGTTTACTAGAGTTCTTCCATATTTTTGATGCCAATATACCTGCAGCTCTAATAATTTACTTGTATTCTGGACAATTCCATTATATTAAATAATATTTAAGATATTATCATCTATTGTTTAATTAGTACTATTATAGCAGACTTGAATATTATATTCAGGAATAATTATATAAAAAATCTTGGTAGGCTCAGACATGGATAAACCCTTTCTGCTCAGTTGTCCTCAAGAATGGTATCAAAACACCTGCATTCGCCTTTTCTAAGGAGACTGTAAATCTACTTGGTGCACAAGTTGACAACAAGGTAAAAGTAATTTTTGTTTATAGCATAAATGTAGTGGCATATTTTCACACCAGTTCCCAGTGTCCTTTTGAATTTTGGAATAGGACGTTATCATCAATAAAYAAATGATTTTCTCATTATATCATCAATAAATAAATGAATTTCACTCAACTTTATTCAATAAATCGTTAATGTTCAAAGCAAAAATAATGTAAAAAGTACATAAGCTTAATGTGCAGAACAATGCACTGAAAAAGAGTTCTTTGTTTGCTAATTAAACTAAATGTAAAAGGCACAAATTATGATAAATATATGCTTTTTTACCGTGCTTTAACTAGTCAGAGTCTGTGTCACTGTCTATAATCCTGCGTTTTCTGGCGATYACATATGTCGATTGTGGTTTGCTCGCCGGATAGTTGTACACGTTCATAGTTCCTATTTGTATATGTTGAGTACAATTTGGATATGGTTGAGCCAAAGCAACAAACTTGTTTTGGAGTGACACAAAGTCAGATGGACCAGGTAGACTTAGTAGGCTTTGAGCAGTGCTTGTTGAGTGTTCAACGGTATTTTYCTTGCTTTCGGGTTGGAATGCTTCGCTGAGAATCGTTGCCTCTTTTGATCACTTGTAGTTTGGTTGATGTAGTGTGTTAAACTTCTTTCATCCTTGTGCTTTGTAATAGCACATATTTTCTTAACGTCGACTCCTTGTTGGTACAATCTTGTGATACTTGATGCACAAATGCAGTGGTTTGTGTACTTCTCAGACAATTCTGCCTTGACAGAAATTCTTTCCATCATCTTAGTTATCGTGTTTTTTTCCAATGGGCTCATTTTTGTACCANAAGGAGTTATGGAGCGTCTTTAAATGAATACCATCCCTTGAGTAAACTACTTTTGTGTCTGCAAGTCCTGACTATGTGTTCTAGCATGGTACATGTGTGACGCACAGGGTTTTGAAATATATGAAATGTCTTGGGAGACATTGGAATGAGTACCATCTCTAGGTTAAACTACTTAAGTGCCAGCAAGTTCTAGTATGTTTTAGCATGATGCGCGTGTGACGCAAAGGGGTTTCAAATATCTAAAATGTGGCGGGGCACATTGAAATGAGTACCATCTCTTGGGTAAACTACTTTTGTGCCTGTAAGTCCTGACTGTGTGTTCCAGTGTGATGCACGTGTGACGCAAAGCGTTTTCCAAATATGGTATCAAAAGTGGACCTTTTCGTCAGATTTATGCATGATACCAATAAACGCATAAAAAGCGGAAAATGAATATTGGTTATCACTTCACTTCGAGATGAGTTCAACGAGTCAACAGCCTTGTAGACAACTAAACAGCCAAGCCATTCGAGGTGCTGCACTTTGCTATATCAGTCATATAATTGTTGGGAAATGTAGTGTTATCAGTGCCAAATGTATAGTACATGCTAAAGAGAAAGCTTTGCACAAGGCTTGGAGACAAATTACCCAAAAGAGAGACTACTRCGATGAAGTCGTGAAAGGTAAATGAATTTCACTTGTTTTGGAGAGTTAACTGCACAAAGTATCAACATATTTAAGTAGTATTTGACTATTTCTTTGTTTAATTGATTTCAGGTATCCGAAATGTGGCTTTCTTCTTTAGTGCAATTTCTTCGTCAGCAAGGAATGAGCGAAGTACGAAAGCGGATGATATAGAAGAGAGTGAGGATAGTGAAGATGAAGATATACCTTGTTCTGCTGTAAGTCAAGAAGAATTTGGCAGTTCTACAGTGAAAAAGTATTTTCCCGCCATTTCCTATTGGATCGCACTAACAACACCGAACGGCGCACCAGCAAATCCCATAACAGTGCACAAAGCCTTGCTATCAT